GGTTCTCTCTCCTTTGTTCATTGTTTAAAGTTTTTTTTTTTTTTTTCCTTTTTTTTTTTTTTTTTTTCCTGGGGAAAATCTCACCCGGGGGGGTTAGGGCAAAGTGTCCCCAAGGGGTGCGGGTGTCCCGGTTTAGGGACGTCCCAGAGGCCGCGGATATCCCGGGTTAAGGCCGGGTCTTTGTCCCGGGCCCGGGGATGTCCTGGAAGCGCTGCTGCCGCTCCCGGGGTTTCGCCGCCCCGAATCCCGGAGCGCCGCGGGGATACGATGGGAAGGGGTGAAAATTGGGGAGACAAAACCCAGCGCTGGCAAACCCCGGCTCGGGGGAGAGAGTTCACGCAGAGGACACGTTTTCTAGGCGATTAGCTGGGTATTATAGCCGGGGACTGACCTCGCAAACCCCTTGACCTCTCCGAGGCTGGACATTGTGCTGGGCGACAGCTCAGCCCCCAGTTCAGCGAAACTTTGCGTGTGCGGGGTCCCGGCCCCAAAAAACCCAGGGTTTGAGCCCTGGAATCGGGGAAACAGGCCCGGGGGGAAAACCGTGGGGGACTAAAGGACTTCGAAATGGGTTTATTTCTGCTTTCTCACTGTTTAGTGGTCCCGCACCCCACAAACCGCTTCCCTTCTCCTCTCACTGCAAAATCCCTCGGTGTTTGCGCCTGGCTTTGCTTTGTGAGAGGGAAAACGGGCAGGAGAGAGGGCGGTGGGCGCTTCGCAGAGAGGCCGGGCTGCTCTTGCCTTCCCAGAAATAATTCGGGGGGGAAAACAAAACCCCAACCCCGAGCGGCGAGCGCAGGAGCGGAGCCGCGGCCTGGCCGCGTCCGTCGCCTCATCTCTCCTCTCATTTTCAGAAATTCCTTTGTTTCCGAGAGCCCCCTCTCCGACCCCCCCTCCCCGCCTTTCTCTGTCCCCCCCCCGCACCTCCTCCCGCTTCGCCCCTGCCCACGGCGCTCTCAAAAGCTCCTCTGTGCCCGCGGAGCAGCGCGGAGAGGGCGCGGAGCGGGCGCGGAGCGGGCGCGGAGGATCCCACCGGGCCCGGGGGATCCCGGGAAGCCTCTTCCCGGCACCCCCGAGCCGCGACCCCCCATCCCAAACCCCTCCAACACCGAGTTGCCTGTGCCCTTTGTTACCTCCGGGTCCCCACATTTGATTTAAAATCTGAGTTTTTAGGCGAGAAAAACCCGCGTGGCCCAACCCCGCCGGGGTGGAGGTGACGGAGAGCGGGGGCAGAGAGGAAGGGAAAATAAATATATATATATTTCTAGATGTGAATCCATGGATAGAAGAGGGGTTCTGCCTGGGAAGGGGGGTCCTGGGAGAAGCGGGGGGGTGGGATTCGCGCCGGCCCGGGGTGGCACCGACTCTCTTTAAAGGCCGCTCAGCTCTGGGAGCGGCTCGGGAGTTTCTCAGCCCCGGTGACAGATTTATGATCCGCAATAAGAACGGCGTGTTTGAATCTGTAAATCAATCTCGCTTTCTCACTATATAAACGCTCATTTTATCTTCAGAAAGAGAGAACGGCTTTGATCACGGCACCTCGGAGGGCGAAGCCGCTGTTTATGGCCGCGTTTCCGACCCTTTGAACCGGGGGCTTTAAAAAAAAAAAGAAAAAATCACCAAACCCGAAATGGTGCTTCTTTTGCATGAAACAAACCCAAAAATGCCAGCGGAGGTGGAGGGGGAGTATCTGCTCCGTTTGCTGCCTGGGATGGCTCTGTTCCATTTTTTTTTTCTCTCGTGACCCTTTCCCCCCCCCCTTCTTTTTTTTTAAATTTATTTGCCGGGCTCCGTTCACGGGGAT